TTCTTGATGTTTAAAACAAGTAAAAAAAAAAATGAAATATAAAAATATTACGTCCATAGAATAATTAAGATGTAATATTTACAAAATCAAAAAAAGGTCCCTAATATGATAAGATGTGATTTGCATAATTAAAATAACTTACCTTTTATAAGACGATGCAATTCTTGTCCTTGTATTAAAAAAAAAGAAAGAATATTTAGATGATATTGTATAATAATTCGATTATATCACTCAGTTAGATATGATCCCTAATATGATGAAATATGTTTTGAAGAATAACAATTAATTAATCCTAGTAAGAGGGGGCAATCCTCATCGTTATTATTTTCCATAATAGAGGTTACTATCAATAATATGATTAGCAACGAAGGATGCAGACATGCATATTTGTACCATAACTGTTGCCACCAATAATGTCCAAAGATATTATTATATTAAGTATGTCGAATTAGTTTAGGTTAGAGGTTGTTGTTGATGATATAATCAATGTCCGTAATTATAATTGTGAGAGATAATAGACAATAGTTGTTCAAAATATATTCATATAATGGTTTTTAAAAGGAAAAAACTATTTTCATGTTATAGATATGTTATCTCTCCTACACATCATTCGATAATTGTGTCATTTTTTTCTTTTCTTTTCTTTCTTGTTTTTTCAGGTGGTTGAGCCCACAAGTTTGTCTCTATGACACGAGATAACTTATAATCTCCTTTAACATGAGATTAATAAAATTCTTTTTAAAATATGTAAGAACACATCTTTGGAAAAGGCAAACGAATTTTAACTGTGACTAAATCCTAACTCAGAATTAGTCACATTACCCCACTCAAAGAGTTGAAGTTTGTTGGATAAACCAGGGCCAACTATTCTCAAAGAAGTAATTACGGTCTATATACAAAATAAATAATAATTTTTTTTTTAATATTTTTCAGTACTTTAAATTGTAATTGCATAAAAATCAAAATAAGTGAACCTTCATGAAATAAAAGAAATATAATTTTTTTGGATAATTTTAAATAGGAATTTCCAGTGTATTATTTATCACAAAAGATTCCAAATCTCAATAGATTTAATGCCGACTGAATAAACCATATGTGCCATTTGTGTTATTTTTTTTTCAATTGAGTCATGAAGTATATACTATCCCAGCTAAGAATTAAAATATCATAAAACTAATTATTTCTCAATTACTTATATTAGATCCAGAATCAGAATTTTAGTTTTAACATAAACATGAAATAAGGTAATTTGAATCGAAAGGTTTAATTCCAATTATACATTGTTTAATTTCAAATCCAATTCAGTATACCGAGATCAAATCATTTCTGTAACATTATTTAAAAGAATAAAATAACAAAGAATTCAAACATTCTTCTTAAATTATATGGTCTGCCTAATTGGGCCAACATTACCATAATAATTATTAAAAGTTATAACAAAATGCATACACAAATGACAATTCCACTTTATAATGACCTTCACGTGTCGTATTGTCTTATGTCACTAAGGAGAAAAAAAAAAAAAAAACTTTCATCTATTTATGGTTCGGTGATTTGGTCGGCCATCATGCTTATCCAAACTGGTCTTTGAATAATCATGCCTGTTATTTTTAAAACAAATGAAAACTCATTCATTTCATGAAGATTTATTTTATTTTTTTTGCTAGTAAGGGAATGGGTATATTTATTATCAGAAAAATTTATCATTCTTGCAACTAATTTAAAATCTATTTATTATTTTAGAAAATATTTTACACCATTAAAAATATAAACCATTATAGCAACTAAGCATTTTTACTTTCAGAAAATATTTATTATCATTCAGATATTTATTTATTTATTATTTACTTTCAGAGTATGTATTTTCTTCCTCGAATGAGAGATTAGTCTCGTTCTTCATCCGGAAGCGAAGTTTAATGAACCCGCTGTTCAAATGAGAGGCTAACCTACGGGGCCGTACCCCGAGGATAAGATGACCAGAGAAGGTTGAATGAAGATACTTCTAGATTATGTCAAAATAAAAATAAAAATATGAGCTGCCTTTTATTTAAATAAATAACGTATATGCATATCATTTTTAATTTATTATCATACTGTAATTTTATACTGTAAAATTTTGGATAACTAACGTGATAATCAAAATTTCACTGTGATTTGATAGAATATAATTATTCGGTAATACAAACAAATTTTACACTTGGCAATAGATCAAATCAAATATTAATTTTTTCAGATTTTAATATTTTGAAATACACTTTTTTATTTATATTTAAGTTCATGTAAGATTATATCAAAACCTTTTACATATGATTGTAAAAATAATTACAAATAAATTAAGGTTTTAATAGCTCTGCCGTTATTGCAAATACTTATTTTCACTAAAATTCTGTTTGTATCCTGAATTTTATTTTATTTTTTTATTTCAGGATTCAATTTCATATCCTAGTATAAATATATTTGCTGTAATTTTTTCATATGTACCAACAACAAAAATGAAGAACCAATAAATTAAATGCAATATTAAAAAACTCATAAAATCAATATCATGATTAGATGCCATCTGAACAGAATTATAGGGGTATGATGCTGTGATCATTTGATACATTCAAAATCAAAAGCCATGATAAAGGCAATGAATCAGGATGACTTTTATCATATTTCCTTAGTTATTCTTGCAAGCTTCTATTCATCATGGAATCAAGCTGTCTCCCTCTAGAACAATATTTGATAAATGACATATAGCTAATACTTTTCAAACGTGTACCTCATGCGTCCCGTATCACCATAATATTTCCCTATAAATAAACATCTCACAGTCCTTGACATAATCATCTCAACATAAAGAAACAAATCACAAATTAATGTACCAAAAAATTAAATAAATCATAAATCAAGATCTTACGTTCATACTTAAAATTATTAATTATTTACTATAACTCAAAATCTTTGTCAAACTTAAATCTTAAAACGAGAAATTACATATTATATCTATAGTATTATCATGAATGAGATTTTCTATCACAGTGTTCAATTTTTTTGTTTTTCAAAAATAAAGCTAAATACTTATCGAAAATTTAATGATAAAATTTTCATTGTCGAGTCTGGTATAAGACGTCTTGTCACACCATAACCTATGTTATAAACGTTTTGTTACGTAAACTCACATTCTTTTATTATGTGACCACTGACCAAAAATGTTATGCTGAATCTAGTACCGAATTTAAACTGTAACATTTCAAAATAAAAATAAAAATAAAATTTAGAAATCATGACATATGATATTTTTTTTTTCCAAATCTTGTCAAATTAATAATAATCTCTCACGTATTATATAATATTTTAAATTATGCGAAAAATATTTATCCTTTTAAAAGAAAATCATTTTAGTTAAAATGATTGTTTTAATTTAATATTTAAATTAAAAAATTCTCACTTTTTTATATTATAATTTTTATTGTGTAATTCTCTCTCTTATCATAAAATTATAATTTTAATTAAAATAACATACTTTTATATTCTTGTAAACAACAGTCACTAATCCCTTATATTATAGATGTATTAGTATTAAGGCTTCATTTCAAATATCCATATAATCTAACTGCATTATCCACCCGATCTAATTTATCTATGTCCTTGTAAAGGACAGTCACTAATCCCTTATATTATATGTGTTAGTCTCGTAATTCTTGACCTAGCCACGTAGAAGAAGATAAGAGGCGAATTCACATGATTCATGTAATCAAAATGATGTGTATATAAGTTTGTATATTATAATAAGGGAAGTTATCCGCATTTATTTTCAAAACGACGTTGTTTTGATATTGAAATTTTAAAAAATTATAAATATAAAGACTATTATAACCTCGAAATAAATTAAAATTACAAAGACACCATAATTTCTGTCCCAAAACAACATCGTATTAGCCTTATTGCATAAAAAACTAACCCTTGTAATTAGGGGTTAAACCGATCCAAACCGCAAAAACCGAACCGAAAAACCAAAAACCGAAAAACCGAAAACCGAAAAAACCCGTAAATATTTACTGGATTGGATTGGTTTTCGGTTTGGATGTTGAAAACCGATCCAAACTTATTTTCTACCAATTTTTTTTTTAATGTAGTATTCATGCCAATGATCTATGTATGGGTAAGAAGAATTCAGTTTTATGTTTTAAGTTTACTATGTTATGGAATTTCTGGATTACTTTCGTTAATCTAGTATACATAGTTAAGTTTTTTGTAGAAGCTGTGTTTTGGCCAGTGTTCATAGTGGCCACTTTTGCAGCCATTATAATTTATAAGTAGTAAAACAGTGATTTCTGTAAAAGAATTCATTACTTTTTTTATTAGAACATCGATCAATAATTTTTTTTATTAGTGATTTTGGAAGACTTATTATTATGGTATTGTCAAAATTTTCTGCTACTACCAATACAAAAGATCCATGACAAATAATACTACTCATTTTTCTAAAAATAATTCTTATAAGTTCTATTTTTTTAACTTTTCAAAAAATCGAAAACCGATCCAATTCAAACCGAAAAAAATTGGATCGGATTTAAAAAAAAATTCAAACCGATTGGATGATGTAATGACCAAACCGAAGGAATTGGATCGGATGCTTCAAAACTGATCTAATCCAAACCGCGAACACCTCTACTTGTAATAATAATATAGGAAATTCTAAAACAAAGGAAAAGAAAAAAAATGAAAGTGACATGGAATGAAATAAGGGGGGGGGGGGGTTGAGAGATGAGAAGCGTGTATATATGATAATTAAAATTTTGATTTAAATATATGCTCTTATAATTTTAGGGTTTTTTTAATCAAAATAATTTTATCAAAATTTTAAATGTTTTTATAATTGTTTTATGTTTTATAAAATTTCGATTTTAACTAAGGTGTAACGAAACGGAGAAGGGAAAGGTAGGGAGGTATAACCAAAAAAATAAATAGAGGAAAAGTTAAGAAATAGAGTTAGAGTGGAAGGCAAGAAAGAGAGAAGGCGGTGGTGAGGTGACCAAAGAAGGCCTAAAGGGAACGCATAGCATAAATTAGGTGAGGTGAGGCGAGGCGAGGGACACGCACTTTCTAATTTGTAATTTCTATTTCTTGGTTGGCACGAAGCGAAGCTAAGCAGACAGAGAAGAGAGAGAAAGCGTGAGAGAGAAAAAGAAGGGTATCGAATACGAAGAAGCTCTGGATTCCACCCCTTCCCGTCCTTTGAGACGGTGGCTATGCTGCTTGCTCTTCAGGTCCCTCTTCCTCTCCCTCTCCCTATATATCTCTCTCTCTCTCTCTCCCTCCTCTTTCTCTTTCTATGTTGCGCCCTTTGTTTATCTTCGCGTTTCAGATCTGATCCGATCTCCTTTGGATCCTTCCGATTTGTTTTCGCTATCTCCTCTGCTTTAACTCCGTGATTGTTTCCGCGTTTCATTTAGGATTTCTCCATTTTTATTTTTTTGAGATTTTTTTTTGCGGTTGACAATCGATGAATGGCCTACGTTCAATTGATGCTCCTACGCTGCCGTCGTTGAATTTGGTTTTTATGATGTCTTTTCAGGGTTTGTTTTGAGGTTTGTGATATTTATTTTATGCTCTGGCGTTATTTAGGGTTTGGACTTTCACTGAGATAGGATTTTGCTGTGTTCTGTAGTTTTCATGTGCATTGTTGTTGTGACTAATTTATGTTATGTTCTGTCTTCTGGAGTATATATAGACTCATTGATTATATACATACATACATATATATATATATATATATATATATATCTGTGTGTGTGTTAAATGTAGGCCGAATGCTTCTGTTAGAGGGAATTTGAAATTTTATCTGATGACGTACCATCTTAATTTAATTTCATGTAATTCATAGAGCTCGTAGGCTTTTTTACGTTGGGGAATTTATGTTTTAGTTGATACACTAGGTTCTGATAATCCCCGGAAATCTTCAAACTTTGCACCGGGTTTTGGGATTTTAATTGTTAGTTACATTTGGTACAAGTGCAATTGCAATCAATTTTGCTTGGTCAGACTTTTAATTTGTGTTTTTTATAGCATCTGAAGCCACAACTACAAGTTCTCTCATTTCATGTCGTTGCGGTCTTTGTTGAGATTTTTATTTTATTGTTCATGTTTAATATGGGAGACAAATTGAAAATATGCATTACGGGATTATTGATCTAACCAAGCTCTGTTTTTTTGTTGTTGTTCCAGATTGGTCTGGATTTAAATCTAAAGGGTCGTGATTTATATTTTGAGACATGGAGGGAGCTTGTTTCTGGACAAATTGCCACAAGTATCGGTCTTTTACATTCCAAAAAGTTCTTGATTGGCGGTTTTTCATCCTTGGAGATTTTCTTCTGGTTTCCTTTGTTAATTGCACTTAGTGTTCCGTTCCCCATTAATGATCAGCACAGGGTACGTGATGCTAGTTTCTTCTGATACAGGTGCTGCATCTTTAGTGCACTTGTACAAGTAAGCGCTTTTTATTATCCTTCTTTGCAAAACATTAATCCCAAAGTAGTTTCTTAATAAGTGTTCCTTTGACAGTGCATTGCTGACCCAACATTCAGTTAAAATTTCTGGTAAATCCTCTTCTGGGGTAAGATATCTATAGTGGAGAACCTCTATAACATAATCATCTGTTCCAATTTGCTAAATTTTAATTCAGCCTATGTTTTCTTCTACAGGGCTGAAGTATATACATTGTTGACTGAATATTGGATTCTGCCTGTATCTTTGAGTGAAGCATTTGCATTGGATCAGTGCGGATTGTAGTTATTGGCAATCGTCTCCTTGTTGCTCTTTATGGGTATTGTTGCCGGCAATACATCAGTTACCTGAAGGTTCTGAATCAAATCCTATTAGATTAGATGAAGTAGATATCATTCTAGTCCTGAAGTCTTGGGTCATAGTGATTTTAGCTACAGATTAATGCTATTGCTTTGATCAATAGTTTTGGTTGGACTTGAGAAGTGTCAGTATGATCTCTGGTTCTTGTTCATTTCTACCTCCCCTGTCCTGCAACCATTACAAAGCTGTGGATCTATTAATGAATAAGGCTGTGCAGCCCTTCCATCAGAAAGTTTCTGCGTCTATGCTGTCTTTTCCCATGACAGAAAATTGATGGTGGATTTTGCTGAACCAGCAGGCATCTGTTAATATTTTATACACCTTTGAGAATCATCTACAAGAGATAAATGCCATCTATCTTTTGTGTTTTTGTTTACATTTTTTGAATAAAGAAAGTGCTACTTTGTGTTCCACGGCAACAATGGAAAGGTGAATATTTATATATTTTTTTCTTTTGCATAAGTTACTATTCGCCCCCCTCTCTCCCACAAAAAAAAAACTGTTGAATTTTTCCAATATTTCCCCCCTGCAAATACAGGTACAAGTTAATTAAGGAAGTTGGTGATGGAACTTTTGGGAGTGTCTGGAGAGCTATTAATAAGCAAACTGGCGAAGTTGTAAGTGTCTGTAACTGGAATGATGAAGGTTCTCTATTTGAAGTCAGATTTTTTCCTAATAAGTCATAAAATTGCAGGTTGCGATCAAGAAAATGAAGAAAAAATATTATTCTTGGGAGGAGTGTGTAAACCTTAGAGAGGTCAAGGTGTCACATCTTGCTGATCTTTCTGAAGCCTTATATGTTGTATATTGTTAGATTCTTTTGTTCATAATTATTCTTTAATATCCCTTGTTGGCAGTCATTACGAAAAATGAACCACCCAAATATTGTGAAGCTGAAGGAAGTTATTCGAGAAAGTGACATTCTGTACTTTGTTTTTGAGTACATGGTGGGTGGCTGAACTTTTTGGTATAGGAAGGTTGAATAAGCTGATACAAAATCTAACATACTAATTGCATTGTCTGTTTTGGGTGATGCAGGAATGCAACCTGTACCAACTAATGAAAGACAGGGAAAAACTGTTTTCTGAAGGTGAAGTTAGAAATTGGTGTTTTCAAGTTTTCCAAGGTCTCGCATACATGCACCAGCGTGGATACTTCCATCGTGACCTAAAGCCTGGTACTTATTCATGATTTAATCTGCAGTCTTGGTAGAGTGTCTATTTTGATGAAATGGGAAAGATATCATTTACATTATGTGTAGCATGATTTGTAGTTTTGGCTTGCTAAGTTGCTAATAAATTGAACTTCCTGTTGTGAGAAGATTACTGACTGAGAGCCTGGTCTGTTGTTTATATCTTTATTACTCTGCTGCTAAAAGTTTTGCTGTTTTGACACAATGTGGCATGCTGCTTTTTGTAGAAAACTTGCTGGTTACCAAGGATATCATCAAAATTGCTGATTTTGGCCTAGCCCGAGAGATCAGTTCACAACCACCCTACACTGAGTATGTCTCCACACGATGGTACGTGCGTTCAACTGGCTATAGATGTATCATGTTCTGTGTATTAGGGCTATGTAATAACATGTATGTTGGCCTTTGCTAGGTATCGTGCTCCTGAAGTGCTGCTTCAGTCGTATCTGTATAGCTCTAAAGTTGGTAAGTGCCGTGGAATAATGATGTCATTTATGATCTTCACGAATATGTTGTTTGCAGTGATGAGTGTTATACTACTATTTTATTTCTTAATTCTATTTTTCTTCTAGACATGTGGGCAATGGGTGCTATAATGGCTGAGCTGCTCACTCTCCGTCCTCTTTTTCCTGGTGCCAGGTATTGGCCTCTCTCCTCCCCCCCTCCCTCCCCCAAGTGTTGGTTTTTTTTTTTAAACTGAGAAAGAGCATATAGATCTTCAGCAGGGAAACAAACTATTATCACCTGGGACTCTTGTAATCTATGAAGCACAGATTCCGACACGGTGTTTTCGATACGTTCTCGACACGAGATGTCGATACGATACAATACGTTTCCGATACATTTTCGATAGGCGTATCCGATACGTTGGAAAAAAATTTAGGGAGTAGTGGTGCTTCATAGGTTGTAATAAAGAAGATATCAGTCGTCCACTTATTTGACCGCACTTTCTTTTTTACAAAAATAATGTGGTTGCAAATTGTTATGAGTTTTTTATGCTTTAAAGTGGAATCCTGCTCTAAAGCAATTGTGTTTAGTAACTGGATGTTGGAAATAAATATATTCCTCCATTGTGTCACATGCAGTGAAGCGGATGAGATCTACAAAATATGTGGTGTGATTGGTAATCCAACCACTGAATCATGGGCTGATGGGCTCAAACTTGCAAGGGAAATCAACTATCAGTTTCCACAGGTTAGATTCCCTTAATTTGGGCCTTGTGATTAGATTTTATGACGCTATTCGATTCTGTAATAAATGTGCTAAGTGCGATTGTGTGAGGTGATATTAGTATTGTAACGCTGTATGCCTGTTACTTGAATTCTGCAGCTTGCTGGTGTACATCTTTCTGTATTGATCCCAGCTGCAAGTGATGATGCAATCAACCTTATCACTGTAAGTAGTTTTTTGTACATTGCTTGGCTGCTTAGCTCTGTGAACCACTTATCAACTAATAGTGTGTAATGCACTTTTCCTTTTTTTCTTGTTTGCTATTAATGCAGTCACTTTGTTCATGGGATCCATGCAAGAGGCCAACAGCTTCAGAGGCCCTTCAACATCCTTTTTTCCAGGTTCATATTTTTTTTTTTTATCTTTTGTTGAAGGAAGTATATCATGTTTTTACTTTGTAAGCTGTTTTATTCAGACCATTTTTTATTTGGTGTAGAGTTGCTTTTACATTCCTCCATCCCTTCGAACCAGAGCAGTAGCAAGAACTCCACCTGGTTTGTTATATTTATATATTTTGTTAGCTGCGGATATGCTTGTTGTACATTTGTACAGGATCTTAATTGTCGCCCTTTTCTCAGCTGGAGCCAGGGGAGCACTGGATCAGCAAGGGGTCAAGAGATATTCTGGTGCTTTGCCTAATTCAAAGCTCACAAATAATTTTTCTTCCCCAAAACTACATCCTCCTTTGGTTTCAGGTGATTTAACTGGTCTTACATATTTATTGATTAGTTCCATGAATGCATGCATTCTTTTATTGTTTTTTTTATGTTTAGAGCTCAAGGTAGTCAAAGCACAAGATGCCAAAAAGTGCACGTGTTACTGAAGAAAGACGATATAATTAGGAAAAGAAAATAGTAAAATAATTTTCTATTTTGCATTGATTTTTCATTTAAATTAACTACTCAAGCATAACATTCATGGTATAAGTAAAAATTATGATGTTCAATTTACAAAACATTAAGCTGGCTTACTGCTAAGAGTCAGTTATTGTTTTTAACATTTTGACTATTTTGCCCCAGTTAGCTTCACAGCTAGCAAGTTAATGGCTGGGCTTCTAAAGTTTTTTGTTTTTTTTTCTCTCTCTCTCTCTCATCTATTAAGATGATAGAGGCATGCCTAGCCTAAACAGAAAGGTTCCTAAGGCGCCATGGTTCTCATAGCTTCTGGTGCTTGGCCTCTGTGCCTTAGACACACCTTTGGTTACTTTGGCTACATTAGTTCAACCTTTGGTTACTTTGGCTACATTAGTTCAATTATACTAATCAATTTGGTAAAAAATATCTTTTAATGTTTAAGCATGAAATTATCCATTATTATATATGATTGATGGAAACACAGTGATCAATGCAAATGAGATTTTTCCCATTGTGCTGTATGTACAATTAATAGGTCTTTTTTGTTTATTGGCATACTCAGTTTCATATTTAATGTGCAATTTAAGGTTCTAATCCAATTATTAATGTTACAGGGGTGCAACGGAAGCTGGATATGGTAAATCTGGTTAGTTGTTCTCTCTACATTCTCTTGAGCTTGCCATATCTTACTGACAAGCTCTCTCTGTTCACACACGCTTTCTTTTTACCTCATGACGTTGACAAAATCAAAATCCAATTTTAATTTGAAATCCTCTTTTGCACAATAGTGGATTAATTCTCACTTAATGCTTTGCTGGACTGATATGTTGTTTGTCTGAGCTGGTTCTTTCCTGATTTCCCTCCATGTCATACTAACAATTTCTTTCTGATTCTTCTGAAGAATGGAATTAAGAACGAAAAATCAATAAAGACTATTAAACAATCAAAATATCGACAGCCAGGAAAGGACAGCCCAAGTAAGATTTTCAGTCTAATATTTTTATTTAATTATTGTATCTGATATTCTTTTATAGTTGGCCTTTCTTGGAAGAATTCCAAGAATGAAATTATAGATTATCACTTAAAAGTTGGTGGTATTCTTTAATAGAGGGTCTTTGACAGGAGGAAAAGTGTTCTCTTGTTTTTCTTGCTTAAATGAAGATACAAACATATAAAAGAGGTCTTGTGGTTCTTTGTTAATGACAAAGTTATGTTGGTTGTTGACAGCTTCTCTAAATAAGGGGAGGACTGGACGTGGGGTTTCAGAAACAGCCGAGAGGTTGGCCAATATGTCTGTTGGTACTCGAAGACAATCGATGGGACAAGCCCGTCCTCCTCCAATGAAGGCTGGAGTCAATTGGATTTCTGAATCTGGAAACTACATGCTCAGGACAGCACAACAGATTCCGACTGGAAGAACTTTCCCAAGAAAAGTGGCCGGATGAGAAGTATGTGTTCACGTGGAGATTCTATAATGCTCAATATTGTTTATGTTCTAGTATAAATAATCAAATATTATGTGGGTTTGGGACTTTCATCTGATGACTTTGGCGAATATCTAAACTGCTAAACTAGGATTTTGCCTGTGGTATTTGGTAATCGTTACGTATTTTTGTGTTGTGGGACTCATCGTTGTGCTGATGCTTTTTACTATATATAAATGCCAGCTTATAAATAAAGTTTTCCACTACTTGTGGTGGAATTATAACAGGTTGTGTTATGGTACGCTCGCATTTATTAGGTCGAGGTGATCATAAATCATGCCTGTCTGCCATGCCTGATTCGAAATTTCAATTTTGGTATCAACAAAGCTTAGCACAGTTGGTAGATAGTTGGATCTTTTAAGCACGTTAACAGGGTTCGATCCCTGGTCGTGTGTATAGAAAAGGTTTTGTTGGGAGCCACAATCGCGTGATTTCTCTGTTTTGAGGGGATTAGTTCTTGGCTTGGGAAATACTCTTGGAAGAATTTCAAAAAAAGAAAAGAAATTTCAATTATGGTGGTTAGAATCAATTCAAGCCATAACAAATGTTTTATTCGGCAAGTCCTGACTTGCACGGGGAATTGATCAACATAATTAACATGTTTAATTTGTATTCCTGATTACACTGTATGACAAGAAAAATTCTTTGCCGGATGTGTTGCTTTATATTTTGAATACTAGGGAAGTTTGATTGCGATGATTAAAACCATAAAAAAAAATATTTGGCTTGTTTTTATTAACAAACATGGGGATTTGGCCAAATGTAGCAAAATTCTTGTAAGTTTTGCCTGCATCTTTAGAATTATTAATTTAGATCGCAATGAACATGTTTTACTTGTTTTCTTGATTAACAAAAACGAGATCCTTTGAACAATATTATAATTACAACGATCCAAAAGTATAGAAATTGTTTTTCCAGGTATTTTCTCTCTCCAAATTTTGGATTTCAAAAGTTTAATTATAACAGTTAGAAATGTTTGACTTTTCTATTCATTAAAAAAATATAGAAACCAATGAACAATGGCATAACTATAACAACCAAGGTAAAGAAATTCTTTGTCGTGTAAATCCCAAAAACACCTTTAACGAGTATGTTTAAGAAATACAGAACCCGCTAAACGATGACATAAATTATAATGGTCCTACAATAGAGAAATTTTATGTGAGGCATGTACATTTTTTATTTTGTATGCTTCAAAAGCAGTGTTATTAAACTCGATCCAGACATCGATCCGGTCAGGGTACTGGGTTACTGGTCGGACTCTGGTTAAACCGGTTAACCCCGATATATATAAATATAAACATATAAATTTTAAATATTCTCCATATCTAAAAGAGATAAAAAGGTAAAAATTATCCTATCACACTATTACAAGTTCATAATTAATCAGTAAATTGCACAAAATAAGCACAAATAAATGAAAATATATGCTTTCACTATGCCCATGGTGCCAAAGTTGTGTTACTCACGGGCTCTTTCTCCAGCAAACTCATCTAAATCTTGACCAACATTGCTTGCATTTTGGTCTGTGATTTCCATGCTGTGTGCATCTACCTTATTATCATCATCCTTATCCAAATTTTGTTGATCTATGACAATTAAATTTTTATGTAAGTCACTAATAAATATTAAGTGATCAAAATCAAATTGAACAACAAAATTCTAATTATTATGTTGTACAAAAGCATACCAATATCATTTGCAACTGGTGGAACGACATCCAAGTCTATGTTTTGTCGTAAAACTTCATCTTCTTCATTACTTAATAATGCTGGTGACATCTCCAAAATTCAACCAGAATGTTCCTTAAACATTGCCAAATCAATTGGGTTATAATTTTGACACTTCGTTTGATCCCTAAATTTTTGAATTTTCATCATCACAAAAATACTTGCAACTATTTATATATATCATCATTACAAATATTCAATTTACAGGATTCTACCATTAATTACGAAATTGAAAGTAGAATCCAATTTTCAAATCCAGTATAAGAATAGAAACTAGTATATCCATTATTCAGAAACCATAGCAGAGTTGTATGTCCAATATATAGCAGAGTCTAATCAAATGTAATGATCAAATCAAGTTCCCATCGTAGACAAATCAGATTTCCTGATAAGTAAAAAAAAGTAGGAAATCTATGTGATTCATATAATATAATAAAAGAATGTAAACAATGAATGAACATAATAATACCTTGTTTGCAGATTCAAGTTGCAACAAACATAGACAAGATCATTAAGCTTTTTATGGTTTCTCTTTTTTGAATGAATATGCTCAAATATACTCCAATTTCGCTCACAGCCTGAGGCACTACAAGTTTGGCTTAGGATATGAATTGCTAATTTTCTCAAGTTCGGTGCACCAAATCCATAACATTCCCACCATTTATCTGGAATGTAATAAAATTAGTATTCACAAATTCATACTAATAAATTTTTCAACTATAACAAGTTAATAATTTTACATGCCATCATTGTATTTCGTTCGCGTGAAGTTAATTGCCTTCCAAAATTAGATTGAGGATCTTTGAAATCCTCATCTCATTTGTAAATTTAGATTGCAACTCATAATCCCCATAAAAATACCTCTTAATGACATCCAAAAGGTCAAATTTTGTGAATTCATATTTTTTAAATTCATCTACATTGAAATGACATTCTGAATTTAACCAATAACCTGCAGCATGCAGATTTTACGAAGCTAAGAATCCCAACGAGTATCTAACCTCCTATCCATCTCCTCTCTAGCTTTAATTATGGCCTGTAAAAGGAAACTCATGGCTTATCTTCACTATCAACAATACGTAATACACGTACAAGTGGCTCAGTAAGTTTTACAATATCAACATATTGTTTCTAAAATTTAGAGTCTAACACTTGTTCCACAAATCTTTTTGCCTTAACATCTTTGCAATAAGCTGAACTTGTCCAATCTCTTAATGTTACCCTTTCTCTTAATGCATCTTTTTGAGCCATTATACTTTGCAAAATAATGAAATTTGTGGCAAAATGGGTTGGAGCTGGACGAAGTATTTCTTTCCCACCTGTAAATTTTCTCATCAAATACAATAGGTAACAATGGTTAGAAACATATTTGGTGAGTTTTGCAGCATGTTCCATCGTTTCAATCACTTCATCTAACTTGCCAATGTCCTGGAACATTAGATAACACAATGGGCAGCACAAGGAGCCAAAATATCTTACGAAACTCGGCCTCTAATAACCTCCCAGCAGCAACATAGTTAGCAGCATTATCAGTCATACTTTGAACAATATTTTCTGGCTCAACAAACAGAACTATTTCTTAAAAAAGTTGGCATAATACTTCTGCAATTTTGGATGCATGAGAAGCGTCAACAGATTTCACAAAAAATGTTCCTTTTGGGCAATAAACCAAAAAATTAATGAGAATGCTTGTGATAAGTCCACCCATCTGCCATAGTAGTGCATCCAATGTGCTTCCAAATAGCTCTATAGCTCTAAAGAAGTTTCTTCACGTCATCAACTTGGCTATTTAGCAAATCACGTAGCATGTGGTATGTTGGAGCTTTAAATCCTGCACCTAAGCTACATACAACATCAAACATTTCCTGAACATAAGGTGAGTTGGCTGCATTAAATGGAAGACGCGCATAAACTATCCATTTTGATATAGCAAGGTGAGCTTTCTGAATCACTTCTTTGCTTTGCAACACACTTTTTATGGTCGGTTGAGCTCTAGGATTCTTCTTGCGATAAAATAAGAGCCTAAGGAATTGGTATTCTTCCCCTTTTCAGATGAATTAGAGGTGATTTTCTTGATGAATTTGTAATTTCTTGCACTTGATAATCTATTATTCTCAAATACTGCAAGTAGTACTCCCCAGCTTCTGTTAACCTGAGCACTTGATCATTTATTATTCTCAAATTCATATGAGCACTTGATCATCTATTATTCTCAAATTCATTTGTATTCTCATCAATATTTTGTTTCATCTGAGCATGAATCTCAGTTTACATGGTTCAACTTGCCCCTTTTCTTCAGCCAAATGAAACTCCAACTGTTTTATCCCACCTCCCCTAATAATCTTATTACAATAGAGACACATATTAACAGCTTTCCCTTGCTCCATAATTCTTTTACAATGAGCTCAACTTGGATCAACTTTTCCCCTATAATGGGGTTGGGATGAATTTTGAGAAGATACATCTTGTGATGATGGTGTTCTTTAGGGTTCAGTGGAAGACATCTTCACAACAACTTAGTAATTTCGGCTAAAAAAATACTGCATCAAATTAACAAAACGATCCTGTTAGTTCCATGGCAGTACATGAAGGTCAAAGGCAAAATTAACAATGATGACATCATTCTTTTGTGTTGGTATATAGTTTTTATTACTTTTCTTACTATAAAAATGAGGGGCTTGGGCTCTCAAGCTATTACGAACAGAGAACGTACTGGTGAAAATTATAAATACCTTTCTTGCACTTGATTGCCCCTTTTAATTACACACACCTAAAGCATAATTTATATTGGGAGTTATTAATCTCATGTTGCTTGAGATAGTTCTTTCATGTGTGAAAGATAAATATGTGGGGTCCACACTTTAAAATAAAGGAAAAAGAAATGGAAAAAGCTGGCACAAAATTCGATGGGTGTATAGCATGAGATAGCTATCTCCAACGAAATGAGAAAAATATTTCCCATTTATATTTTATATATAACAATAACGTCATCAATTATAACTCAACATGGAAGCTGGACAAACAAAAACAGAGATTAAAAAGCAGTAGTTTAGATATTTCCTCGTACATCAGGCAACAATGACTTGGCTTATTTATACAATTACATAACTAATACCAATAACTTCATCACTGTGTATTATTGTTATATATATTCAGAATTTTTGGAAGCAAGGAGAGTATACCATATGATGTTGTTCTTTATTACATGAGATTTAATAAAGATCAATCTTAAAAAAATTTATTTTATACTATTTTGTGCATTCATAATCTAAATTGGTCAATTACATATAGAAATCAAATTATTCTTGACTAACTTATATTGGTAATTGAAATGCATGAGTCAAATTCTACCCTTCAAGGCAATGTGCAAGTTTTAGTGAAATCCACATCATCCCAAACCACATACCACATATTAAATTAAAAATAAAAGTTGAAAACCTGAGTTAAAACTGAATTTCAGAACGTTATCCAAAAACCACATGGCTTATAAATATCAAAGATACCTTTTTACTAATCTAACATATCTCAGTTACCTAGTAAGCAAATAAATAAAGATGTTCAGGGGTATCAAAATTCATAGATAATGAGTTTGAGTAATTATAGCAATAAATGCAAGCCTTAGAATGACATAGACATTAACATCATGAACTTATAACAGCTTTGATTGCATTTGTATAGCATTTGAGAAAAATTAAACATGCGTTAGTGAAAAGAGTCCCAAACAAACAGATACCAACAAATAAAGTTTAGGTTTCATGGTCACAAGACTTAAAATGAATTAAGGAAAAATAAATATAAATAAATAAATAAGAAAACACACAGAGAGAGGAAGAGATACTTGATAAGGGTATAACCTGCGCTGAGAAGAAGAGAAAAAAACGTTGATTTTTTGGGGCAGCAATGGTGGCACAAAGTAGCAGAGCAAAGGAAGCAAAGGAAGGATCTAGACTGAACAAAAAGCAAATGGGGATCTCAAAAATAAATCATTAAAGTATATGGGTCCCTTTGAGTAAAAGTTGAAGCATGCAAATGGTTCTGCCTCAAAGTAGCATTTCACTTAGATGCCTTTGTGAAGAAGAGAAACAGGCTCCAAGCTGTGGGTAGAAAGAAGCGACGGACCTATGAAAACGACCAAAGATGAGATGGGTTTTATGTTTATGCATTGGTGCTGTTTGGTTCAAGGTTTCCTACAACTTGTCTATGCAAATAAAAGTGGCAAACTAAGACACCCATGTTTGGTTCACCGTTTTTCTTAAGTTCCCTATCTAATAGATTTGCATAGCATTATTCATCTGGTCATAGAAAGCAGGCTATGGTTTTTTCTGGTTACCCAGCTAAATGGAAAAAGTGGAATCGAAATAATACCATAATACCCTCATGTAAAGCGTGAAGAAGGAGGCGAAGAAAGATAGAGATAGCAGCGCCCGTGAGTGTAAGTCTCCATAAGCTTATCTTCCTTGTGTGGGTTGAAGAGGAAATCTGGAAACGGCGACCGGAAGATGTGATTCTCCATGTTCGAAATTAACAAACTCGTCCTTTGTGTGGTTTAGAGTACCCAAAGGTAAGCATCGTTGAACAACTTAGTATCTTATTGTGGTTTGATTTCCAGAAATATCTTCTTTAACCCTTCCCCTCTTGTTTTTTATTGCACAGATCAAAATTAGAGGAAGGTCTATGCAATGTGAAGCTTGTGGAGAAAATGCAACGTTTACCCAGCAGCAATTCCGAGAATTCCAGATTCCCTTGTGTGTGGTATCATTTCTTTTACTCTTGCCTTGAGCTTTCACCTCCCTTGAATTTGGATTAGATGGTATCAAATTTAATTGTGCATATTTTCACTTGCACTTTGTATTGGATGAGATTGTTCAAGATAAAATTCTTATTAAAAGAATGCAAAATTGTCTCCAGTATATTATTTTGAGTTTCTATTTCTGTATACCATTTTCAAGTGGTGATCAAATACCAGTTGATAGAACAGCATGATAATTACATTGTAATGACTAGTCACCGTCCGTTCTAACACTAACCCTAAATATTATAAAGAAAGAAGATATATTCTACAAACCCACATCGTTATGCTTTGTTTGCACGTTGTCTGAGCTACTGGTTCCCCTTTCCAAGCATGGGTTCCTTCCATTTGTTCCTTCTACTTTTGTTTTCCTTCTCTGTTCTTTGCCCTGCCTCTCCCATCATCCAAGCTGCTATCCATCAAGGTCCCAAAGCTTACTGTAACTGCACAAGTAACACCACTTTTGCTGCCCTTAGCTATTACCGTTCCAACATCAAAACACTACTAGATTGGCTCTCCTCCAATGCCACTAGCAATGCCAGATCCTACAACGCCACAGTAGCTAGCAAAAACACTCTTGACACTGTCCATGGTCTCTTCCTTTGTACAGAAGACATCAACCCAAAAAACTGCCAAGAGTGCGTGATAGAAGCAGCCAAACTCATATTATCACTCTGCACGACGGCGAAAGAAGCCATAATTTGGTACCAAGTGTGCTTTGTCCGCTACTCTGATCGTCTTTTCTTCTCCGCAGTGGTAATTTTTGAAGTGTTTGTGTATATAGCCATACTGTTTATGGTAATTTTTGAAGTGGTCTAGTCTAGATACCTGATAGTGTAAATACCATGGTGTTAGTCCTAAACAAGTTGAAAATGTGGAGACAAATGGCAAACCTGACAATGGCTTTTGTTTATTTTTTGGATGTGCATCCATTGTCATGTATGCCATATGGCTACCCATTACTGTTTTATTGTCTTCATGTTAAAAGGATTAGGATATGCACTATTAACATTGTCATTGCTTGTGTTGTACCAACAATGATATGTATGGTAAGTTTTTGGAAGTCTGGCTAAGTGGATATACATAGAAGCTTTGGAGTCATGAGGACAGGCACTGCAGTATTGTAATTATGGAGTGGGATCATGCTTATAGACTGATATTGTATGGTAAGTGGGTACCAACAAGAGGTGCCAACAGGTATGTTCTTTTTAATTAATGTTGATCAATATTGTGTTTCTCAATATATTAGTTCTACTTACACTTGTTCATAGTGTAAAAAGACTTCATATTTGTTGTTGTTTGAACATCGAAACCAGCACATGTTTGATATGTTATTGTTTTTATTTGACAGTCTTATATGACAACAGCCATGTTCAAAGTGCAGCTGATAAAGTGATTACTTGACAGGCATGCTGTCAAGTTTGCCAAGGTTGTTTATTTTTATGGTGAGAAAGCATGTTTTGGGGTTGATCTGAAGCAAAGGAAGAGGAAACCATGGATTGAAAGAAACAACTTGCATTGTTATCTGATACAGATACACAGGATCCGAAACATAACCATGCATCAGGGCCATTTGGCATATATGTGTATCTGCTATATTGAATTAATGTTGCATCCATTCATTGGTCATGTGAATGTAATTTTACATCTATTTTATGTATTTGTTATCTGTAAAACTCTTGCCATTAATTAAATATTACAATTAAGATTATTGTCACTTATGAAATTATCCAATAATGTAGCCCGCACTTGTTTGTTTCACACATGTACAAATACACCATCGCATCATGAATACTTGAAATTAGATGAGGAATCAAGGTGAAATATCTGAAGAAAGAAATGAACACCCGAAGTGCTTCATATTAATTGAATCACTGGAATATAATCCATTGCTTGGTAAGTTACACATCAGAATTGTACATGACTATGAACAAAGTTTAAATTAAGGTCAAAGTACACTTAAAAATTCCTATACAGCATACTACTCATGAACAAATACAGCTATTAAGATCCTGTTGCACTATTAACAAAGTGAATATGCTTCAAGATTCCATAACAGGCGTTGCCTTCATATTCTTCTGATATTCTATTTTATCAGCAATTCATTGATACAACATCAAAAACCCTATCAGGTACAACATGAACCAAGTTGCTTTGCAGTGTTAGTCTTCAAGATCAGGTGAAACTAGTGATTAAACAGTAGTGATTGAACAGTGTAAAACTATTCTGCTCTTCCTTTTACTGTTTTCTGTCATTCTTCATTCTCCAATGTCATTTCAGATAAGTAATCCTCCGGGAGCATATTGTAATATTGTATGGTCAGAAGAAACCATACAAAGAATACAAACTTCGCCAGGATATGCAAATCTCACCCAGTACGTACCATTGAAAAGCCTTAATGCTGGCTCAGTATAATCTCTTCAAAATCACATATCTCAATAGATTTTCATTTAGCTTTACCAAGAAAAATCACACGAGATTATGGTACACATCCAAGACAGACAAGTAGAACTGAGAAAGAAAAACCATTTTGACTGGATTATATGACTGTGATTGAACAGTCTAGACAAAATGGATTTAACATGTCTTTTCATTCAAAGTAGATATAGGAAATGAATATCTATGTCTTTGAGATGTAATGGTAATTCAAAATAAATAATATATGTTATAAACATCATATTAGATTGTAAAATATTGATCACATCAACACTACATATTTTGGCAGTGGGTGAGGTAGGGCTAAGAATGCAGGAAGTTCAATTAACAAACTAAATTGCTCAGCTTGTAAGTAAAATGTTCATTGGGATTGATAACGCAGGAGCAGGTTCTACACATGAGTTTTCATTTTCATCTCAGAAAATTTTTACAATGAAGATGACAAGCAAATTGCATGAGAATGATGAACACTCTAAATCATTTAAGTTACAGCCCAAGTGCTCCTCAAAGATATCGCCTTCACTCAAGTGAGGTTGTTTTCTATTGCTGTAGTACATAGACTTTGGAAGTACAAACTGCTAAATTCAAAACCTTGATAACATGTTTTCAAAATTAGATCCAAGCATAACATTTTTCAGGTAAGTATGTACAGAGACCTGAATCCAGGGATACAATAAAGCAAATTATATAGAGGAACAAATTTTTAAGAAATTATTAGAAGAAATGCTATTGGAAAGGTATCCGAAAAAACAAATTATGATCTTAAGGGCACAAAACTCTGATAAATTGGAAAGGTATCCGGTGGCATTGTTCATAATTTAACAACAATGATTAAAGTTGTGTACTCAGTACACTCAGGTCACCCCAATGAGTCAACACCCAAAGTGAGTGCCAATATGGAACTCCCAAAGCATAAGTTGTGCACCTAGTATACTCAGATCACCATAATGAGTCAACATTCAAAGTGAGTGCCAGTATGGAAGTCCATATAGTTCAAATTAATGGCCAAAGAACATACAATAATAAAATCATCACATAAGCTTCAATTGCATATCAGTCATTCTACCACTAACACACAATCTAGCCCTTAGTGCTTGTCCATCGGTCCTTCCACCCATGATACAATATCCTCTATATGAATGCAGTCAGGCCAAATTACTAACACACCACTCTTTCATCCATTCAATAACCATTACTTCTATAGGAACATAGTGGAACAACAAGATGGATTAACCTAAAAAATTCAAAAGTTTACCTCTTGGAGATTTCTTCCTTGCCAAGCTTTCTTCAAGCCCTAGCAATCTCCTCAAAATCCTCTCAAATACCAAAGTCACCTATTCAAAGGACGACAATACAATTATACACATAAATCACATACAAAACATCAATTCAATGCTTGAACATAATCAAATACATGATTATTAACAATCAATATACCAAGGACTCAATTTTATGAACTTACCCTCTTCTTGATCCAATGCTTAATCCATCATCAAGCTATCACTTGGTCTTAAAGTACACAATCAAACAACCAATAGTCTACTATCAAATATCTATTCCAAGCCTTAAAAACACAAGAGTTCAACACTTTTTCATGACCTAAATTTAAACATGATACAAAGGTGACTCAAATGATTGTTTCAACATTTTTTTCACCATTAAACTTCTTCTTTAACACTTCTTCCTCAACATGTTTCTATTCATTAATAAACTTGGGATCCAATGAGTAACGACATAACTTTAAAGACAAAGGTAAAGAAATTCTTTGTCGTGTAACTTTCGAACCACATGTTTCGAAATAATATTTTTTGTTTGGTAAGTCCCATCATACATATTCATAGTGTATTCACAACATAACAAACATGTTTAGCTTTTCGTTCTGATTAATAACTGTGGAACTCGCTAGATAATGACATATATTATAATGGTCTTATGATAAAGAAATTCTAGGTCGGGTATATTTGTTTTTGATTTTGGATACTAAGAAAGTTCGATTACGACAATTAGTACCAATTAAAACCATAACAAACAAGTCTGACTTGTTTTTATTAGTACCAATTACAAGATAATTCTTTATTGTGTAACTCCTAACCCACACATTTTGAAATAATTTTTTTTTGATATGTCCCGTCATGCATATTCATAATGTATTTACAACAGAACGAACATGTTTATCCTTTCTTCCTGATTAATAAATGTGGAACTCGCTAAATAATGACACAAATTATAATGGTCTTGTGATAAAGAAATTCAGGTCGGGTATGTTTGTTTTAAATGTGATAAAGAAATTCTAGGTCGGGTATGTTTGTTTTAAATTTTGGATACTAGGAAAGTTCGATTACGACAATTAGTACCAATTAACACCATAAGAAACATGTCTTGTTTTTATTAAAAAATGTGAGAATTGGTCAATGGTGATTGTAACAATAGCATCCAGAGGTAGAAAAATTCTTTGTCAAGTAAGTTTTGTCCTGCATATTTGGAATTAATTCATACCGCAACGAACGTATTTCATTTATTTTCTTGATTAACAATTGTGAGACCCATTGAACGATACTGTGATTATAATGATTCTTAGGTAGAGAAATTTTTTGTCAAGGTATTTGTCGTGTAACTCCTGACCCACACGTTTTGAAATAAATTTTTTCGTTTGGTATGTCATGACATGCATATTCATAATGTATTCACAACATAACGAGCATGTTTATCTTTTCTTCCTGATTAATAAATGTTGAACTCGCTAAATAATGACACAAATTATAACGATGTTGCGATAAAGAAATTCTTGGTCGGGTATGTTAGTTTTCTATTTTGGACGCTTCAAAAGTTTCAATTATGGTACCATAACAAACATGTTTAATTATCTTGTTTTCTTGATTAATAAATGTGAGACTTGATGAATAACGGTCATAACAATAACAATCCAGGTAGAGAAATTTTTTGTCCAGTTTCAGCCCTATGTTTAGAATTAACTCAAATCATTATGATCATATTTGACTTGTTTTCCTCATTGATAAACTTGAGACTTGTTGAATGACGACCATAACTATAATATTCCAAAGGGAGATGAATTTCTTGTTAGGTGCATGTGTTTGTTTTTTTATTTTGAATGCTTCAAAAGTTCAATTATAGGTTAGACACAATTTACTCAATAACAAATATGTTTGGCTTTTCTCTTGATTAATAAATATGGATCTCGATGAACAACAACCATAACTATAATGACTAAGCTGATGAAATTGTTTTTCGGGTAAATTATGACCCTCACATTTAGAATTAATTTATACCATGTATAACGAACATGTTTCACTTGTTTTTTTATTAATAAATATGGGAATTGTTGAACGCCAACAAAAACTATAATGGGCTTAAGGTAAAAAAAAAATTCTTTATCAGGGTATGTATCTTTTAGATTTTGTATGATTCAAAAGTTTGATTTGTGATAGATAGAATTAATTTACATCATAACGAATATGATTGACTTATCTTCTTCATTAATTCACATGGGCCTTGGTAAACGAAGACCCTACCTTTATTTTAGGGTTGCAAACTTCTATGTCAAGTAAGTTTGACCCACATATTTTAGAATCTATTCACACCATAACAAATATGTTTGGCTTTTTCTCTTACATTAATTAAATTTATGATTCAGTGAATCACAGTAACTATAACGATTCTAAGATAAGAAAACTCCTTATTAGGTAAATTTCGACCTACACGAAGATGTAACGATTAGACTTTGTCTTGAATTGGGATTCATTCAAATAGATATGTTTATGAATTTGATTTTAGGTTTTTGCAGAGCGAAGGTCTCTTTGCATGAGAGTTTGCTATAAATTTGAGCATACAATTAATTAATTTACTTTTTAACCCTTAAAAGAAGTAGTATAATATATTTGATGGGAGTGAATCATTAATGGTGATAAGGGAAGAGAGAGAAAAAATATTGAAATAGTTAGTTATAAAATTATAACTGTTGATTCAACTCTATATGATTAGGATTCTTCCATATGATGTGATCATGTTAAATAAAACATATGAGAGAATTCATTTTCATATTTGATACCTTTTGTAGTAGTCATATGATCAGAATCAAGGAGATTTTTATATCTCGATGGATGAGAAATTCAAATATATTATCAAATCATTTATTAAGCTCTTTTAGAGGTTTTCTCAACTAATCCGTGTGTGTTATTTTTTATTTTAATTTTATACAACTAATCTGTTTTTTAGTTTGTAATG